GTAGAAGAGGAAGGCTTTGCAGCTCTTTAGAAGAGCTCTCATGCAAGGAAGACGACGTGTGAATCACGTTTAGAGGGAAGAAGCTTTTTTTCGCGCGAATTAGGGTTTTTTTCTTGCGTGAATCAGGTTCGGCGCTGTGAACGATTCCCTTAGCGGCTCCTATTCGGCGTCGTTTGCGAACGATTCCCGTGCGAAGCTTCTTGTTCCTATCCGTCGTCGTTCATATATATATCTTAGCTAAGAGTCAAACAACAGCTACGTTACAGGGTTGAGCCGCGATTTCAAGCGGGATTTCGAGCGGAGCTCTCGTGCATGCAATCCGAGAGCAGAGAAGAGGAAGATATACATACCTTTATACATGTAGATATATGTATGTAGGTATGTATGTAGATTTATATATATATATATATACATACCTACACACACACACACACACACACATATATATATATATATATATATGTAATATATATATATATATATATGTATATATGTATGTAAGTATGTATGTAGGTATGTATGTTATATAGTGGAAAGACAACAATCTTTTTCTCTGAGTCAGAAATCTAAACCTTGATTGACAAATTCAAGTTTACTCTTATTGAGAAATTTCTGTGGGGACACCCACCTATGAAAGTTAACAAGAAAAATGGGGCTCATGGATGAGAGACATTTTGATTCAGTTAACCGTATCTAAAGACTACACTCGGATTTTTTCCAAAAAATATCTTAACATTGTCAAATAAATGAAGCTACTCAAGTGCTCGAAACATATTTTGATTCAGTTAACCGTATCTAAAGACTACACTCGGATTTTTTCCAAAAAATAACTTAACATTGACAAATAAATGAAGCTACTCAAGTAGTTTCTTGGTTTTGACCCCAAACATGAATCTTCTACTGCACCAGTATGATTTAGTCTATCTAGTCTCAAACTACACTTTTTTGATCATCAAGTTATTTACTCTACTGGTGTCATACTTGGGGACCCTATGAAGGTATATCTACCCACTTTCAACCTTACCAAACTTTCTATAGCCAAAATACTTAATGCTATTGAAGTCTGGTTGGGCACAACACATAATGGATATTGGCAACAAGTCGTCATGGAGCATGGACCTCAACTTTCTATAGCCAAAATACTTAATGTTACTGAAGTCTGGTTGGACACAACACATAATGGATATTGACAACAAGTCGTCATGGAGCATAGACCTTCTTATTGTCTGATTGTAAGATGTTTGGGCATACCCTTGATAAATGCCGTAAGCTTCAACCTAATTTAAAATCTAAAGATCAAGTGAATAAGGATGGATCTAAGGATATATTTGTTCCATTTAGAGAGAAAACTACAATGGGACAGTATTTGGTGTCTGATTCTATTGCCCTTTTGGACCCTCCCCCTGAAAATATTGTTTCTGCGATCGACGAGAAATTGGATGGCCCTGTTGAGCAACTTACACTTTCAAACTTTATTGAAAATAATAATGAAGGACTCTTACTTACACAGACTGATAATCAGTAGAACCTTGCAGCTCCCCATCTTCAGGAAGTATCAGGGGTAGAGGTGACAACTCTTACCTCACATACACTTGTGGGCACAACTGTTGGCAATGTTTCTACTACAACACTACCACCTCATCCGAATGAGCAACAATCTTCGGATGAGGAATGACAAATCTACACTTTCAGGAGGAAAAAGAAGAATGAAGATTTACTTGAGCTAAGGAATCTAATGAATGATACTCTGGTTACTTCGGACAATTGTACATACTTCATCAATCTGTTAGTTAGTTCCTTTCTGTGAATTAAAGGCAGATGCATAACTAAAGTGGGTTGACCTGGTTGATCTTATATGTACCATCTACTTTTGGGTTTTAAGTTTTTTTTCTTTTCTTTTTTTGTGTTGTACCCTATTGGTTGGGTGCCTATTTGGGTCCATTCATACAACCTATATGTACCCTTTTCTCTTTAGTAAATTTGCCTTGAGCTTTTTAATATATATATACACGAACAAAGTTTTGCT